GGGTGACTTTTGAACTCGTTGTTCCGCCTGCTCCTACCCCATTCCGGGCAGAATGCTCGAGCTGAGGGATTACGGTTTACTTTGTAGGACCAAAACAGAGCCGGCTTCTTCGAAGCTCAGCAAATCGTCAAGCAGACTTGTGCACAGCTACTATGCCAATTCTTCACCATCCTATCCTATACTATGCTATCCTATCCTACACTGCACTAGATACCACATACTATATCTACTTTAATATATATATATATATGCAGTGCTACATGCTACACTCGTCCATGGCTCCTTCGAACAGCGACAGCAGCGTGCAGGGGCCGGCCGGGCATAAGGTTGCCCTTACAATCAAAATGTGTTTTGGGGGGGGTATAGTATAGCATAGCATAGCATAGCATAGCATAGCATGGAATACTATGGGAAGTATAGTATCATGTAGTTGTAAGGGGACTGTAAGTGGATACTAATTCGTAATTGAACCCGGCCCCCGTATCGGCTGCACTGAATTACTTGACTGAGCCGGGCCTTGAACACAGCTATGGATTTCGACCTCGTCAGCGAGGGCTCTCCCTGATCCGCGCAGTGCGGCGAGGACTACCGCTGCGGCCGGTTGGACTGGCAGAGGAAGCTGTTCAGGCCCTGGGGCCCCTGGCTGTTGAAAAGCACGTGAAGGAGTTCCAGGCCCGCGAGGGACCTGAGAAGCGGAGGGACCGAAATCCCAGCTCCGAGGCGCTTGATGGTGACCAAAACTCCAACAGGCCCAAAACACACCCGGAACAAAACGGGAATTCGGAAATCCCACTCATGCTTCGCGTACGCTTTAGGGCTTTAGGGTTCGGCTGAGGCTTCCGCATCCCTTTATTGCCACGGCGCACTAGGCAAAGAAAGGCAACGAGAAGCCGCTCGAACCAGCGCCCCTCCGGTGTCATGAGCATGTTCACGCTGCCAGCGAGGATGAGGAACCATTCCTCGCAGGACCGCACTTGGGAGCCCAGCAGGCTCTGTACATATGTTTTAATACATTTGCAAACCAAACATACATACATATATATATATATATATATATATATATACATATACATATGCGCACACATACAGAGATTCGCGTATGCGCGCTCTATCTATCTATCTATCTATCTATCTATCTATCTATTAATCCAGCCATCCATCTACCTATACATCGAGAAAAGCGTTGGGAGTTGTCAGTTGTCATTCATGGCTGATGCTGCAAGGATGTTACTCCTCTGCTGTCACTGGTATAAAATCCCTAAACCCTAAACCCTAGACCCTAGACCCTCCTTTATGAAATCCCAGATCCCAGGCAAGCGTCCCTCCAAAGGACGGGACTGAACCATCCGCTCGTGAGCATGCCGGCGATCACTAGCAACGTCGCCGCCGCGTGGACAAAGTGCTTTGTGCAGATACCCAGTAAGAGCACCTGGACTCTGAGATATATGTGAGTAAAAAAGACGCTGAATGCCAAGATGGCTGAGTACAGAAAGCTCGTTGTGTACACGATGTCCCTGTGTCAGGGGATCTTAAGCCTACCACATATAACGATCGTGGTATCTTCAGCTAAGATATCCTGAACAAAAACCCGGGCACCCCCGTGAAGAAGCCAATGTTGGCGCCGAGCCCAAACCTGGAGAGAACAGGGCAGGTTTAGGATTTGAGCGTCGGGGTTTAAGCTTAAGGTCTGAGGCTTTGGTACCCTTAATTTTCGGAAGATCCCATTTAGGGTTCGTGCTTGGGGAGGCTGCGCATGCCGGGACCCGCCACTTGCTGCGAGAATGTCTTAGCACATTCTTAAGTTTAGGGTTTAGGGTTTAGGGTTTAGGGCACCATGCCCTCAATCAAAGCTGGATGTTTGCATTTTCGGGGCCTGGGCTGCTACAGCTTGGGCCCCCCTTGATCAACTTATCAACTTAAGCACTGAGAAGCAGGTACCTCGTGGGGGGAGCCCTGATGTAGCATTACCACCCTTTCTTGCGCTTAAAAAAGCTCCTCAAGATGGGCTGACTTTTTGGGAGGCCCTAAACCCTAAACCCTAAAATCGGGATCCAGGTTTGGGACTCCGAGATCAGGGTTCAGCCTAAACCCTAAACCCTTAAACTTCAGGTTCTCAGGTCCAGGAGCATCCCAACGCAGCCATACCTGACGTAAGCCAGCGCGGAGCCCGCCACGGTGAAGAGCACCATGACCTGCAGGTCCAGGCTGTAGTGGTGATTGGCACTTCGGGTTTAGGGTTTAGGTTTCAGGGTTGGTTTAGGCAGTGGGAGTTTCTAAGACGGCATGGGGCTTGGCTTTGGAAGCACGACAGATCTATGGATCCGCTTTATTTTGCCTGCAGGCAAATAAACCCGAGCACACCCTCAACAGCTTGGTGTCGCCAGTCTCTGTCGGTTGAAAATTGCCGGGAGTCTTGTCCCTCGGCGAGTTTTTCCGGTGTTGCGGTGCATGTTATATCCCCTGTCTGGCTGGCCTGGCCTGCATGTGGCCTCCTTGTCCCTAAACCCTAAACCCTAAACCCAAAACCCAAAACCCAAAACCCTAAACCCTAAACCCTCAAGCTGTTGACGAACTGCAACTTGGGTCTGGTTCTCTGCGCCGGTTTTGCGCCAAGCTGGTGGGAAGCTTCCAAGTTGCTGGGTCCTGTTTTGGCAAGCCAGGGTTTAGGGTTTAGGGTTTAGGGTTTGCTGGGTCCTGTTTTGGCAAGCCAGGGAGGCATGGCACAGTCGACTTGGGAGTTTCCGAAAGGAAGGGGTACCTTATTTTGGGGTCCTTATAATAAGGATCCTATTATTTAGGTATTTTGGGGTCCTTATAATAAGGATCCTATTATTTAGGTACTATATTAGGGTCCCCTATTTTCGGAAACCCCCACTTCGATTCGCCTCTTAAGGGGACCACTGGCCGGCGGGCTGTGGAGCTGGGGAAACAACGCCCCGGCGGTCGTGTACACCCTCTTCCCTGGATCCTTACGCAGGAACTTTGTGCCAAGTCTTCACAAGGAAAGCACGTCAGTTGCTTACGAAATCCTTTCAAGCCCATCTGTAAAGTACTGTGAAGCCTTCACAAGAGCCCAGTTCCCAGAGAGAGTCAAAATATCCCAAAATAAAAACAAGCTGGTAAACCCTAAACCCTAAACCCAATGAGAGTCAAAATATCCCAAAATAAAACAAGCTGGTAAACCCTAAACCCTAAGCCCAATGTTCCTGAAGGCAAGGGGGAGTGGGCTCCCCGGGCTTCGCAGACACGTGTAGCCGAGGTGCCAAGGAGGCGGACCATTGCGCCCAGCGAGTGACGAAGAACTCGCCATGGACGGTGCCCAACAAATTCACCTCTTAGCGGTTTATAGGGCTTTACAGTGATTTATAGGGTCTTATAAGGTTGTAAAGGGGTTGGGGGTTGGTAGGGTTTTAAAGGCTTGCGTTAAGGGGTTTTAGAGATTTATCTTCCCAAGGCTGGATTAGAGTCACCTTTAAGTCTTTGGAGGTGCACAAAGGTCCGCCTTTTGATGGCCTTCGAAGTTTTCTGACTTCGGGGCCTAGGCCCAGGCTTGAGGGTTTAGGGCTTAGGGTTCAGGGTTTGGGGCAGGGGGGGGGGGTCCTGGCTTAGGTTAGGATCAAGGGTCTGGGGTACAGGGCGGTGGCTTTGGCGTTTGGGGATGGGTCCACCTTGCATTGTTTGGAGTGGCTAGGGTTTAGGGTTTAGGGTTTAGGGTTTAGGGTTTCGAGACTATTATCCAGTTGAGGGCCGTGCGAAAATTCCATGGTTGCCGCTAATCACCATTTCCCTGCTTCAAGGCTCCATGTAACCATGTACTTATGCAGTATAGACTTAAGCCTCAAAGCACCCGTATAGGAACCCCTTTACGCCCCGAGTATGATATATATATATATATATATACACACACACACATATATATATATATGCATATGTGAATATAGGTACATGGAGCCTTCGGGTTTGTGACGATCATGTATGACCAGACATTGAGCTGTCAAGCGCTGCGTCCTCACGCAGCCCCTTGTCGCAAAACCTAAACCCCCCCCCCACCCTAAACCCTCACACCCTAACCCCGAAACCCTTGAACGTCTAAACCCTACACCCCTAAACCCCTAAACCCCTAAAGCGCTAAACCCCTAAACCTCTAAACCCTACAACCTTAATCCTACACCAACCCTGACACCATGAAAGCCACAAAAACCCTACGAAAGCATCCCGGGCCTTGATGCAAAAGAAGACCAGCAAAGCGAAGCCCATTCCTGGGATCTTGCTGAGGAAGTGAGTCTTTCAAGCTTTAGGTTTAGGGTTTAGGG